TGGCTTGAGAGGCTGGCATATGTGGATGGTGGCAGGAGACCTGGGCAGGGAGGTGGTGCCCATCACTTCCAGTGGAGACGGCCCTAGCCAGCTCCTAGGATGCTCAGGTACCCCTATCTGTTCCCTGGTCCGAACCTGGCTTTTCCCACTGTGGCTTCCTCTGCTTTTTAGTTGAGTCCAGGTGACCCAAGCCAGGTGGCCATGTTGATATCTTCACGGCCCAACCTGGGGGCAGGGTAACCTGGGGGCAGGGTTGCGGGAGTGGTGTCAGAAGGGAGTGGTGGCTGCCAAGGGGGTTGGCTGTTGACCAAGCTTTGGCCGCGGGCTCGGGACACAATCTCCTGGGCAGTGAGGAGGCGTCCAGCAGCCTCGGGGACAGAGGCCGAGTGGCTGGGCTGCTGGGCCAGAGTTCAGGAGGCTGCCACCACCCGCACTCCTTCAGCCCCACGCCTTCAGGAAATGTTGCAAAATCTTCGGGAAAGGTTGCAAAAAAAGGGTCTCCGGGCAGGTCCTGCTGGCTCCTTCCCTAGCAGGGGAGAGGCAAGAGGGGCAGGATCTTGTCTGGAACCATGCCCCAGACAGTGCCCACCTGCTGCCACAGAAAACCTCTCCCAGCTGGGTATGCTGAGCCCCAGTGTGCCCCACCATCGTCAGGAGTGGAACCAGCCAGCATGGATGTGGGGGACAGCAGGTGCTGGATGTGAGGCTACCCTTCTGAGTCAGGGCATGTAAGCTGGGGAGGTGTTGGGGCCAGTGGGGAGCTGAGGCTGGGGACCATGGGGGGGTGGTTGTGCCCAGGTGACTGGCCCTGACCCTGGTGGCCCAGGGAACAGGTAGTGGGACCCATGGACAGGACCTGGGATGGGGAGTGAAGGGGTGCTGTGTGAGACCAAGATCGGGGCAGGGGCAGCAGTGTTCAGGCTGGGAACAGAGGGCCTGGGTGTGGGGATGGTGGAGGCTTTGTCCACTGCTAGGTGGGGATGTGGGTGGACAAGACCTGGCCAAGCCATTCAGGCTGTGTCCATTGTGTAGGGACAGGTGCTTGGGCCCCACCCAAGAGACAAGCTGGGGGCACAGGAAAGAAAGAGCATAGGAAAGCCTGGCCAGCACGTCCTCACTTTGTGCCCAGACGTTCCTGGCCAGCTCATCGTGTGACCCAGAACCTGTGCTCAGGAGTGCACGTGTGAGCTTGTCCTGACACTAGTACACAGGTGTGCACGTGAGCATGTGTGTGCGTCCACAGTGGTGTCTGGGGGTGAGTGGTGCCTTGTGAATGCACGTGTGTGTGACTGTGCAGGTCAATACGGACAATCTGAGTGGGTGGGTGTGAACAGGTGTGTATATATGTATGTTGGTATATGGGGTAGTGCATGTGCAAGTGTGTGAGGTCTAAATGTGTGTTGTCTGTATGTGGGTGTGAGTGCATCTCTGTGACAAGTGCACACAAACATGTGTGAGGCTGTGCATGTGAATGGGCGTGCACACCTGTGAGCACTAGTGTGTGTGCTGCTTTGTGAATGGGTGTACGTGTGTGTGAGCACTCGGATGAGCATGTACTGCTGAGTGTGCACGTGTGTGAGTACTCGTGTGAGTGTGAACTGCTGAGTGTGCACGTGAGTACTCGTGTGTGTATTGCTTTGAGTGGGTGCACATGTGTGAGCACTCAGGTGAGCGTGAACTGCTCTGAGTGTGTGTACACATGTGTGAGCACTTGGGTGACTGTGAGCTGCTCTGAGTGGGTGTACACGTGTGTGTGCACCTGTGTACTTGTATCAGTGTGTGATGCTCTGTGAGGGGCGTGCACGTGTGTGAG